TAAGAGTGAACAAAGTTTGGGTCGCTCTCCCGGCTCAGCCATTGTTGTCCTTACAGAATTTAAAGCAAAAAAAAATGCTTTGTGTTCAGGGCTCGGCAGTAAATCTTAGCGTTGCAAATTGACAGCGTAATTATATAGTGCGGTGTAAAAGTAGGGCTGATAATTACAGTGTGTGTGTGTGTGTGTCAGTGTATGTGCTGTGTGTGATTAGGTGATGGTTTGAGGGAAAATGGAGGGATGAGATCTTGGCCCGCTCCTGTTATCGTGATTTAATTAAAACCAATCCCAGGGGCCGACCTGCGCACGTGTGCTGAGTGTGTCCTCATTGGGGTTTGGAACGATACAAGCCTGCAATCACTATAGCCTGCTATTGTGTCACTTTCTCTAAACATTTAACAAACAGCATCTTGCGCAGAGGGTCTAAATACAGTGTATGTGCGGGTGAAGTGGGATAATGACTGGGGACTGGCAGGGTGGTATTATTTGGTCAGTGTGATGAATTATTTGCTCTCGGGTCAAATGGAGCTCGGAGGCTGATCACTAGTCTGATTGGATTTTTACACAGGAGATATGAAGATGTAAACAGATTGATGGGGATGTCTGCTTTGCTCTCCATTAAGTGGATTATAAATATAAGGACCAATTTGGAATGAAGTGCTCTCTTCAGAACTCACACACCTCGCACACGCTTTTTCATTCATGCCGTCAAAGTTGTGGAGTAACATCGGTTCACTCTGTGCTAAAGTTTGGTCACGACTTAAAGGCTTTCTTTCTGTTGCCAACACAAAGTTGACAAAACAAGGTTAATGTGTGTTGCATCAACAGCATGAAGTGATCAATGAAACCAATAAACCTGATGACATAAACAGGACACCTGTCATTGCCAGTAACTGTCTGCTCCAATTATAACAATCTGAAATCCCTAAAACCAAAAATCTGGCTACAGTTTAGGATTTAACGCTGATTTCATATATTAATAACAGAAAAACATGGAAGTAGCTTCCGTCTGAGAATTAAAGCCAATCCAGAAAGTATCCGGCAGCCATGCAGCTGTGGATTATTACTGCAGAGTGAACATTATCTTTGAAGAACATTACTTTTGAACCAAGTGTACTAATACAGCTAACATCAGTGCTGCTTGTTAGGCTAGTATAGCTAATATTCTCATTAAATCAATTAGATGCCAAAGCTCCTTATTCCCATTCTCTATTTTTTGTTTCCCATTTTTTGAACTATCCAATTACAATATGATCACGTGACACTTGAACATTGAGCTTTCCATACTCCGCCTTAAATAAGACTGTTTGTTCAAACCTCCATTAGAGCTGCAACTAGGGGGCAGTGGAGCCGGCTGTAAATATTGTAAACAAGGCAAAACATTCAAACGGAAAACTTTAGCAAACAGTTACTTATTGAAACATCCTGTATGGGGTCATGTATGTGTCCACCTGACAGTATAGGTCCAAAAATCAGCTTCCTTTTAGCTTTGTTTTGGTTTCGAGAGACTCATGAGAGAAATGCTCCACTAGCTTCAGTATGTAAATGTTTACTTGATGTTTATTTCTGGCAGGTGTTGCAGTTATTAATAGGACTTTTTCACCTCTGACAGCAACTGCCTGCTGCAAGTCAAGCAGAATGATGAGAATGAACTAAGTCAGTAGACTTCAACCAGCTAAAAGACACTAAAAAATCTGCAGACAAGCCAAGAAGTCTGATAATTCTCTTAAGATCAAATGAAAACGACCAGTTTGGGGTCAGACACAGTGGCTTTAGTCTTTGTTTAAAGCGGACACCTTAAGTGTTAAATCAATAAAACCAAAGCAAGGGCCAAAACATCTTTTCTACAATGGCCATTTGAGGCCAATAGCAAGTCAGTCCCCACAGATGTTAAAATATCCAAATGTACAATAGATGTACATTTGGATACTTTTATGCTGGCTGTACATGGGACACACTGGGCAACACCTTTTAACCTTTGGATTCAAGGGTTTTCAGTTCCATTGCCACAGTGTATAAATTCAAGCACATATTAGTGCAGTCTGCCATTAAAACATTTTCTGGCATAAATGTCCTGTATCTACTACTATTACTACCTCTACTACTACTACTAATTATTATTATTATTATTATTATTATTACACTCTTATCCTTTTGTCCTTGTAAGTGTTGAATTCCTCCAAAATGAGCTCAGCAGTTAGATTGGGCACTCAGGCTGCTATTTATTCTTTGGAAAAATATAATAGAAGTCATAGTAAGGTAGTCCTGCATAACATAGTCAATCACTAAACTGGTTTGTGCAATGAATGAATTCAGACATCTATTTATTTATACACTACATAGACAAAAATAAGGGTCCCAAAAGGGCCACACGTCTTAATCTTTGAATTCCACAGGTTTATTCTTTTCATTTATTTATGCCACAGGTGCATAAAACCGAGCACCTATTCACGCAGTCTGTTTTTACAAACATTTTGGAAAGGATGAGTTGTTGTAAAGAGCTCGCTGTATTCGAGTGTTGTGTGCCATGATTGCAACAAGTGAGCTTGTGAAATTGCTTTCTTCCCAGATATTACATGATCAGCTGTAAGTGCTCAGGAACCAGAGAAATTCAGCCATGAAGTGGGGAAAGTGGGGATGCCAACTATTGAGGTGCACAGTGTGTAAAAGTCACCAGTGCTCTGCTGACTGAGTAACTGCAGTTTCAAACCTCCTCTGGCATTAACATCAGCACAAAAACTGAGCACTGGGAGCTTCAGGGCATGGGTTTCCATTCTGTAGGTGTAATGTGTAGATGGCAGCAGCTGCTGCTTTGACTGATAGGTGTGCCGGCACAGGTAGGTAACCAGCAGCTGTCATCTGAGGAGTGTTTCTAGAATCTGCTTTATTTAAAAAACATCAGCTGCCCAGTTTCCTGGCGCCTCCGACTTTTTCTTTCACCCCTCTGGCTTCTTTAAATTCAAATTCCTCCCAGTCTGTTGCTGTTCAGCACTGTTTTACAGCGCTCTACAATCCCATGTGGTGATTTCTCCGGAACAAACAATCAGCCAAAGTAGCACAGCAGGTCCTATGTGGAGGTCTTACAATCAGAACATTAAATTGGAAGGATCGGATCTCATTTTATGGCAAATTAATCCATGAAAAAACAGAAGCTCAACAGAAAAGCTGTCTGATCTAAGCAGGTAAATTCAGGACACAAGGAACACGGAGTAATGTTTTCTGTTTGGTTTCCTGCTTTGATGAAAGCCAGCAGGCCGAAACACTCCAACTGGCTTTAACTGTTTTGTAATCAATGAACTCGTCAATAAAACCTTTTGAAGCTTCCAGAAAGAAGTTAAAAAAGCAACCAAAGTTGCATAGTCACCTCTATTACCTGACTCAGCACACCCACAGATTCAGAGTGAGTGCAGTGGCATTTCCGCAAACCTGTTTTACAGTTTCATAGCCCCACATCTAATGGCCAATTTCCTATTCAAATAACTCTGCTGTGTAATCCACAATTTGGCAACGAGTGGTAAGAGTTAAACCAACAGATGGATGACACGTGACCTGAATTCTAAAGCCTCACAGTGACTGATACAGTATCTATCAACTGTAATGATACATTTAACCAGCTGATTTGATTTTAAAGCGCTTGATGATCGCGCCTGGTGCAGATCTCTTTTAAAACTATGACTAAGATACAGACAGAATGAGACACTTGCACAATCTACTTCTCATAGCTCCATTGGTCACACTGTAAAGGTAATGCTGAGTCAGACTGGCTGCAAACATGATTTAGCTTTTCTACACTGCAATTTCTTGTTACTGATTGCCTGACATATACACCGATTAGTTGCGACAGGTCATTTGGAAAAAGTCGTGTAAGTTCTACTCGCTGGCAGCAAATAAATCCGTGGTTCGAGTAATAGTGAGTCAGTAATAAAATTGTATAAATCTGGATAAATTAATGACAAACATACTGGCTGGCTACAAGCAACCTTACTGAATAAACCACATATATGTAATATGTATGCCACATTATTGCCTTAAGAAAACTAAGTGAAGTCAGCACAAGAGAAGTGGGTTATACCTGTTATCTTGAGGGGGCACTACGGTGCTTAGGCTAAGTCACATGAACTTAATGTAATATACCAAAGGAGCAATGTTATAAATGTTAAGCCACCTCACAAAATGTCACTATGAATGTTTAGATGTTTGTATAAATTTTGGAATAATTATGCTCAGTATGAATGTTTTCTATTGCGTGACAAGGACCTTCCATGTGCCCCATCCTGCACAGCCACAGGAACACTGGTTTTACTAAGAGTTTAATAAACAAGAATGCTGATACTGTTCTCGGCAACACAAAAACTAGGAAATGCCCATAAGAAACGCAAATCTAAACACCAAATATCTGGGAAAAAACTGATCCCAACAACTTTAAAGTTTGAACATAAGAATAACATTTTTTTTAATTATATAACTTATAGTTTTTCTTTTAAACCCCCCCCCCCCTATAAAGAAGTCACTGACAGAGAAGACATATGAACCTGTCTGCATATCTGTGTAGCTCAAAAGATATCCTTGATTTCTTTCTATAGTTAAGTACAGCATCTTGCTTTAATGGCCAGACATTTTGCTAGTAATAAGGGAGCCACAGACATTTGGTTAATATAATAAAATGTGTTAGATTTTTATTGTGAAATGTCTACTTGAACTCTTTGCCATGTCAGCTGACTGTCCACATAGGACACATTCAGTTTAACAATTCATCTTTTAGATTTTGGAACTTGAGCTGTCTGCGTCCTCCCTTTGGACCATTAGACCTTAAACCAACTTATTCATGCCAAATTCATTAAATGGATCTAAACCTTTAGCTACTTTTCTTTAAAAAAATATAAAACACTAATCCGGATCCATATATCTCTCTGGATGTGGGGACATGGATGGTAGAAGCTCGTTATATTTATGTCCGACCAAGTAATCCTTGCGCTTTAGCTGATGTACAGATTGCCTCTTACCTGCCATGTCGGTGGCAAAAGGTCGGTCTGGCCTCCAGCCAGTGTACCAGCCCACAACTTTACCCCCAGACACCAGGGGGCGCTCATATGCTCTGCCACCCACAAATCCCACAGGCCAAATGGATACACCTCGAGTACTACGCATCTGCAAAAAAAAGAGAAGGGAATGGGATTTAGTGATGACTTCCTGCATGCGACCATTATCACAGAATGTGTGAAATGTAACTATTTGAGAGTTATTTAAAAACAGCAGGAGCAATGCTCCAATGTTAAAAGTCCATTTAATGTAGTTGTAACGACTCTGACCCCATAGAAGACCACATTTTTTTATCTGCACAATCGCTTTGCTTGCTAATCACAATACTTGTTCTGCAATAGGAAATCAGACACAGTGTCGGAGCCTACAGGCGACATCCACCCTGAGGAGACGTCAAAGGCCCCAGAAAGTTAGAGACTGGGCGTGTGGTGTTGACTCTGAAATTAATTACTTTTGTGTCAGTTTGCATAAGCGATTAGACATCTTTAATTTCAACTGAAATGTGGGTGAGAGCAGCATGCAGAGAGTCTGTGGCTAACTGAATGAGACTAAATGAAAGTGTGCAGCGCGGAGCTGCCTTCCATTTTCACAGTGAATGAATTTGCACACAGCCCGAAGCAGTGCAACAAGAAATGAGACGAGGAGAGAGAGATAAAAGACTGGCGATGTGTGTGTGTGTGTGTGTGGTGGGGGAGAGGTTGGACTGTGCAAGGACCACTGAGTTTTTGTGTTCAAGTATGAAACATCTGTATCTTGTCTTTGTGTATGGATGCATATGTGTCTGCGTGACATTCCATTTTCCACCCCTGGCCACCCTGAAGCCGTTCATTGAGACAGCGCTCCTCATCGCTCACCCAAACAGCCTCCAGCCAGTCGCTCATGAGAAAGCAACAGAACAAAACCAAATCAGTAAGCAGCACTGCATTACTGCAGCCAGACATCACACAGAGTTCTAGCTTTTAAAGCCACGGGAAGCCAAGTGTATATATAGCACAATATAGAGAGGATTTACAGCTCTTTGCAAACTTCTAAGCAGGAGGAGACTTGGCACTGTGCAAAGAATAGCTGAGAGCGTATGGGCAGTAGACAAATAAAAAACACTCTGAAAAGTTCATGTTCACTAAGGTATTTCATATAGAATAATTCTGAATAAAGTGAATATTTCTACCTTGTTTTAACCTTCTGAGGTCATCATAGGTAGTAACCATAATCCTAACGTCTGGAGAAGAGGGGAACCTACTTATTATAAATTATTATTTTCTTTGTTCCTTAATTACTAGGAGTTGGGAGAACAATTGCATAAAAACTAAATTATATTTCCTACTTGCTTAAATTTAGGGTTAGGGTTGGTGGGGTCATCACCAGTGACGGTTTCACACTTAGAGATTTTCCATGGAGTTCCACAGAGGGGAAAATTCTTTGTACCTGTCCCTGGTACTAAGCCCATACTGGTCACTACTCACCTGATGGATGGAGCTGAATCAGCACAAGTAAAACTGATAGCCTATTAAATTTGTGTTAACAGTTAATATTGATGTTTTAGTTGAGGGGTGGAGGGGCTGTCAATCTGCTACTGACAGCCTAATTAAAGAATGTCCTCCTCAGGCAAAACACATATTGAGCTCAGTGACTGGAGTTCTGAAACTGAATGAACTGAACAAACTGTAAGCTGCTACTGATGACACCATAAAATGTTGGATAAGATTTTAGCACAGTTCTCAAATGTTGTGCATGTAAATGTTGTAATATTAAAGTCAGTTTATCACAAAACTGATTTTTCTGCTCAGATCTCAGGGTTCATTCAACCCATTAAATTAACCTTGCATAACTAGCATAGTAACAGACGTCCCAGCATGCACTGTATGAGGCACCCTTCTTTAACAGAAATAAACAGGTGTGTGTGTTTCTATATGTGTTTTTTGTGTTTAATACATAGAAAGATAAGTCCTGCTGCACGTGTGCACAATAATAAAAGGTGATGAAGCTTTGTATTGAATTCACTACTGAAATGAGTTAACCACTTCAAACTAAAAGCCCATTTTAATTAAGCTTCAGTGGATTTGCAAGTTCAAACAAGTAGCAACCTGAGCAGTTCACTAAATTACAAATCTCAATCCTGAGATGAAGTCCTGCCATTAATTAATTCTTCGATCTTAAATATGATCAACCTATCTCTAATGATCGGCTATGTACCACAGGCCTTCAAGCTAGCTGTAGTTAAACCTTTACTCAAAAAGCCATCTCTAGACCCAGCAGTCTTAGCTAATTATAGGCCAATCTCCAACCTTCCTTTCATATCAAACATCATTGAAAGAGTAGTTGTCAAACAGCTAACAGATCATCTGCAGAGGAATGGTTTATTTGAAGAGTTTCAGTCAGGTTTCAGAGCTCATCACAGCACAGAAACAGCTTTAGTGAAGGTTACAAATGATCTTCTTATGGCCTCTGACAGTGGACTCATCTCTGTGCTTGTCCTGCTAGACCTCAGTGCAGCATTCGATACTGTCGACCATAATATCCTATTAGAGCGATTAGAACATGCTGTAGGTATTACAGGTACTGCACTGCAGTGGTTTGTATCATATCTATCTAATAGACTCCAGTTTGTTCATGTAAATGGAGAGTCCTCTTCACACACTGAGGTTAATTATGGAGTTCCACAGGGTTCAGTGCTAGGACCAATTCTGTTTACATTATACATGCTTCCCTTAGGCAGTATCATTAGAAGACATAGCATACATTTTCACTGCTATGCAGATGACACCCAGCTCTATCTGTCCATGAAGCCAGATAACACACACCAATTAGTTAAACTGCAGGAATGTCTTAAAGACATAAAGACCTGGATGGCCGCTAACTTTCTGCTTCTTAATTCAGATAAAACTGAGGTTATTGTACTCGGCCCTGAAAATCTTAGAAATATGGTATCTAAGCAGATTCTTACTCTGGATGGCATTACCTTGGCCTCCAGTAACGCTGTGAGGAACCTTGGAGTCATTTTTGACCAGGACATGTCCTTCAATGCACATATTAAACAAATATGTAAGACTGCGTTCTTCCATTTGCGCAACATCTCTAAAATTAGAAATATCCTGTCTCAGAGTGACGCTGAAAAACTAGTTCATGCATTTATTACTTCCAGGCTGGACGACTGTAATTCATTATTATCAGGATGTCCAAAAAACTCACTGAAAAGCCTTCAGCTAATCCAAAACGCTGCAGCAAGAGTACTGACAGGGACTAGAAAGAGAGAGCATATTTCTCCTGTTTTGGCTTCCCTTCATTGGCTTCCTGTTAAATCCAGAATTGAATTCAAAATCCTGCTCCTCACATACAAGGTCTTAAATAATCAGGCCCCATCTTATCTTAATGACCTTGTAGTACCATATCACCCTATTAGAGCACTTCGCTCTTGCTCTGCAGGCCTACTTGTTGTTCCTAGAGTATTTAAAAGTAGAATGGGAGGGAGAGCCTTCAGTTTTCAGGCCCCTCTTCTGTGGAACCAGCTTCCAGTTTGGATTCGGGAGACAGACACCATCTCTACTTTTAAGATTAGGCTCAAAACTTTCCTTTTTGCTAAAGCATATAGTTAGGGCTGGACCAGGTGACCCTGAATCCTCCCTTAGTTATGCTGCAATAGACATAGGCTGCCGGGGGATTCCCATGATGCATTGAGTTTTTCCTTTCCAGTCACCTTTCTCACTCACTATGTATTAACAGACCTCTCTGCATTAAATCATATCTGTTATTAACCTCTGTCTCTCTTCCACAGCATGTCTTTTATCCTGTCTTCCTTCTCTCACCCCAACCGGTCGCAGCAGATGGCCGCCCCTCCCTGAGCCTGGTTCTGCCGGAGGTTTCTTCCTGTTAAAAGGGAGTTTTTCCTTCCCACTGTTGCCAAAGTGCTTGCTCATAGGGGGTCATATGATTGTTGGTTTTTTTTTTCTCTGTATCTATGAAGCGCCTTGAGGCGACTTATGTTGTGATTTGGCGCTATATAAATAAAATTGAATTGAATTGAATTGAATCAAGCAAACAAAGAGTATACACAAGGCATGACATCTAACAAAGACAGCATTCATTTTCATGTAGCTTTATTACTTCATACATATCACTACGTATATATATAATATAACCTCAACTGACTTGTATCAATGGCATCGTATTACAGCACCACACTCAAATTCAGTGAGCTCTTTACAACAACCCTTCCTTTCCCAAATGTTTGTAAAAGCAGACTGAATCACTAGGTCTTGATTTGATACACCTTTTGCAAAGGGACTGGAAACACCTCTTAATTTGAAATAAGAGGAAAAAATGGTGACCATGCAAAATATGATTTTTTGCCATTTTTCAAGTGGTCTTAAACTTTTGATCGGGACTGTATCTTAGCACTTTATCCTCTGCTCCAAAACAACAACAACAACAACAACACAGCACCTAAAACACTAATTTTATTTTATTTTATTTATATAGCCCAAATCACAACAACAGTCACCTCAAGATGCTTTATACTGTAAGGTAGAGACCCTACAATAATACAGAGAAAGCCCCAGATGACCTCTTACAGGCAAGCACTCAGCCACAGTGGGAAGGAAAAACTCCCTTGGCCAGAACCAGGCTCAGGAAGGGGCAGCTGTCTGCCACGATTTGTTGGGGAAGATGGGAGAAAGACAGGACAAAAGAAACGCTGTGGAAGAGAGCCAGAGATTAATAATAACTAATGATTAAATGCTGAGTGCTGTGTAGACACATAGTGAGTGAAAAGACTATTATAAGCTTGTTCAGTCAGGGCGGCCACGTCCATCTGTTATCTGCTGTCTAATGCAAACTTCCAGTGATCCACTCAAAGATTTCAGAGCAGCAAGAACAAAAGTTTTAATGGGCTGGACATCTTTGTTGTGTTCCAGCATAGCAACAGAAGCAGAAAACATGGAATGTGACATTTAGTTATACAGTAGTGTCAAAGATAATAAGCGTACCTTATTCTTCTTCCAGTAAGCACGCCTAGACCTAAGATTCCACAGCATGAGAGGAAAAGGATAAGCTGAACATTTAGTTAGTGGCTGACCTCACTCTGACAGAAAAGAGAAAAGCGTCTTCTCGCT